AGCCAGGATGGTCTCGATCTCCTGACCTCGTGATCCACCCGTCTCGGCCTCCCAAAGTGCTGGGATTACAGGCTTGAGCCACCGCACCCGGCCACCAACACTGTTTTTAATATATGACTTGTAAGGCAAGTTGGGGAGCATTTGTTCCTTATTAAGATGTACTGAGTTGAATAAAAGCCCCTCCAACCACCAACCCCCGAAAATATATGCCCAAGTACTAAGCTCCAGAATTTGTGAATGCACACTAATTTGGATAAAGAGTATTTGCATGTAATTAAGGTAAGATTATTGAGATTAGATCACTCTAAATTACCCAGGTGGCCTTTAAATCCAATGACCAGTGAGTGTCCTTCTAAGAGACAGAAGAGGAGACACAGACACAGAGGAAAAGGTCACGTGGAGACAGAAGCAGAGACTGTAGTGATGTGGCCACAAGCCCAGGGACACCTGGAGCCACCAGGAGCTGAAAGAGGCAGGAAGGATCCTCTCTTAGAGCCTCCAGGGGGAGCAAACCCCTGCCCACACCTTGATCTCAGATTCCTGGTCTCCAATACTGGAAAAAAATAAACATCTGTTACTTTAAGCCATCCAAATTGTTGTTATTTGCTACAGCATCCGTAAGAATTAAAACCTATAGGTATGAATTTTATGTTGCTGTCAAAAGGCTTCTTCTAGGATAAGTAGATATTTCACCTAGATAGCTGTAGCTTTTTCTCCTCTTCATTGGGATTGGAACTCAGTTGATGTCCTCCATCCTCCTATCTCAATATTGATTTTACTTACTCCTTAATCCTAACAATGAGCCTTTTTATATTGCTTAATTAAATATCAGTGTCTTTCTGGTCAACATGAGACCAAAAACCTTTTTACCTTGGGTCTGAGAAAGAGCAGTATTTCCCCTCCTCTTCCTCTTCCTCTTCTTCCTCCTCCTTCCTTCTTCTCCCTCTTTTTAGAGATGGAGTCTCTCTCTGTTGCCCAGGCTAGAGTGCAGTGGCATAATCCTAGCTCACTGCAACCTCAAACTCCTGGGCTCAAGTGATCTTCCGGCCTCAACCTACTAAGTAAATGGGACCACACACGTGTGCCATTATGCCCTATTTTTTTTTTTTTTTTTTACTTATTTGTAGAAATGAGGTCTCGCTATGTTGCCCAGGCTGGTCTCAGACCTCTGATCTCAAACCTCTGATCTCAAGTGTTCCTCCTCTTTGGCCTCCCAAAGCACTGGGATTACAGGTGTGAGCCACCATTCTTTGGCATGGTGGGGTATGCAGTAGGAGAGCAGCGGTGGTGGTAGTGTCTCCATACGGACTCTCACAAAAAGCGGTGTGGGCGGATATTGGATGCCTACTTATTTAGGGGCATCTAAATTCCTGTGCTAAATTAGAAAACTGGCAGCTCTTGAAAGGAGTGATGGCGTGAAGGAGAGATACCTGGACCAACCACCACACAACCCTTATAAATAATTGATACCCTTGGTTTTGATGCCACGTCCTCTTCCATAGTTGTTGGTTGAAGTGACACGTGATTCCAGGTGAGCTTTTCCAGATAAATTGCCCTGGAACTTCAGACTTTGTCGGGTGAATCGATGTGGAATTTCAGAATGGGCTGGAATGTCTAAGATGGGCATGACCAATATTCAGCTCAGTGTGGGGAAACTGGTGGTGGCCAGGGCTGGTTGCAGGCTGAGTTGCAGGGGTGACAATTCACCTGAGAAACAAAAAAACATGCAAATCCTGGTTGATGAGGAGTGATTTCACAAATAGTGACCGTGGAAGTCAATGTTGAAAAAACAAATAGATTCAGGGCATAAGGGTGCAGGTTTGTTACACGGATATATTGCCCAGTGGTGGGGATTGGCCTTCTATCCCCCAAACAGTGAACATAATACCAGATAGGTAATTTCTCAACCCTCGTCCACTTCCACCTTCCCCCTTTTAAAGGTGTCCAGTGTCTGTTATTCCATTCTATAGGTCCATGTGTACCCATTTTTAGCTCCCACTTACAAGTGAGAACATGTGGTATTTGATTTTGTTTCTGAGTTATTTCACTTAGGATATTGACCCTCAGCTCCATTTATGTTGCTGCAAAAGATATAGTTTCATTCTTTTTTATAGATGCATAATAGTCTTGGTGTGTGTATACCACATTTTCTTCATCCAATGAACACTTAGGTTCATTCCATGATTTTGCTATTGTGAATTGTGCTGCAGTAAAAATGTAAGTGTAGGTGTCTTTTCTGATAATTTCTTTCCTTTGGGTAGATAACCATTACTGGAGTTGCTGGGTCAAAGGGTAGATCTATTTTTAGTTCTCTGAGAAATCTACTACTGTTTTCCATAGAAGTTGTACAATTTTACATTCTCACCAACAGTGTATAAGCATTCCCTTCTGTGCATTCTCACCAAGAGGTGTTTTTCTACAAGACAAAATGTAGATTGACAGATAGATCAATGATAGGTAGATGGAATACAGATGACAGATAATAATAGGTAGGTAGATGATAAATGGAATAGATAGAATAAACAGACAGATAGAATATAGTAATAAAATGCATCTACCTGAAAATAGAGAAGAAAAAGATTGTGGGACTTTCCACTCTGTAACCCTGGGGCAAAGAAAGTAGCATTAATGAAAAAACAAAGAATGGGAAAATAAAATTTTTTATTCAGAACCACCCTTCCAGCAGAAAAGAATAGCGCAAGCAAAATATTAAGCATTTTGTATGCATTTGTGTAGGTCGTGGGAACTATTACAAAAAGGTGGATGTCGCATGTTTCAGTGCTTTTTCTTTTTTCTTTTTTTTTGAGACAGGCTCTCGCTCTGTTGCCCAGGCTGGAGTGCGGTGGCATGATCTTGGCTCATGGCAACCTCTGCTTTCTGGGTTCAAGGGATTCTCCAGTCTCAGCCTCCTGAATAACTGGGATTACAGGCTCCTGCCACCATGCCCGGCTATTTTTTATTTTTATTTTTAGTAGAGATGGGGTTTCACCATGTTGTCCAGGCTGGTCTTGAACTCCTGACCTCAAGTGATCACCTGCCTTGGCCTCCCAAAGTGCAGGGATTACAGGCGTGAGCCACCATGCCTGGACTCAATACATTTTTAATATACACAGTGCTTTGCCAATTTTGGAGGGTTGTCTACTATTGGAATTTCTGGGTTTTAATTTTTTTTTTTATGTTTGTGTTTCTCCCTTTTAGTTTGATATAATGCAACTCTTATTTTCTTATTGAAATAAAATCTCAGGCTCTCTCCATTGCATAGGCTGAAGCAGGTATGATGTAGGACGCTGGCTGGATTCAGACCCTTGAAGGAGGTTGGGCACGGTGACTCATGCCTGTAATCTCAGCACTTTAGGAGGCTGAGGTGGGCAGATCACTTGAGGTCAGGTGAAACCAGCCTGGCCAACATGGTGAAACCCCGTCTACCCAAAAAAACCCCAAAAAACAAAAATTAACCGAATGGTGGTGCGTGCCTGTAGTCCCAGCTACTTGGAAGGCTGAGGTGGGAGAATTGCTTGAACCCAATAGGTGGTGGTTGCAGTGAGCCGAAATCGCACCACTGCACTCCAGCCTGGGCAACAGAGTGAGACCCTGTCTCAAAAAACAAAAACAAAACAAAATCAGACCCTTGAAGCATGAGCATTTTGCTGTGTTTCATTTGGGAGCTGGCTGTTCTGCTTCCTCCTAACATCTCAAAAGACACTGGATGGCCTGAGCTCCCGGGTACTCTGGGCTGCCTAGTTAGCATTCTGTGGGTGGTGAGAAAAACGCAAATTGTCTCTGCAGGGCAGCAGACCCTGGAGTTTAAAGACTTCTCTTCTTTTATCAAATTGTGTATTTGCAAGGCGGGAGTTGAGCCCAGGAGACTACCCTGGGCAACCTAGTGAGATTCTGTCCCTACAAAAACTACACAAATCAGCCTGGCATAGTGGCACACACCTGTAGTCCCAGCTACTAGGGAGGATGAGGTGGTAGGATCACTTGAGTCCAGGATTTCGAGGTTACTGTGAGCTATGATCGCACCAGATTGCTGCATGGGGATGAGAAGAAATAGAGGGTGAACAGATCTCCTGCTACTGCACAGGACACTTTTGATTTCCCAGCTGGTGTTTGAAGGCTGTGCAAGGTGTTGGGTTGCAGGATGATGGAGATCCATATCATTGTGAATCCATGACTTGTGTGGCCGTTTGCATCAACTCAGCCTTACTGCAGATACTAACCTTCATTCCCCTCTCCAGCTATGCATTGGTTTTCTGCATACCACTTGGAATTTATGTTGGCTCTGAGTCATCCGATTCTCACATGATAAAGAACCAAATAATGACATATTATTTTAAAAGAATGTGTCTGCATATGGCTTCTTATCTGCCAAGTGTTGCACTTTAGGCATTTATATTGAGTTTCAAGATCTTGCCACTGCACTCCAGCCTGGGTGACAGAGCAATACCTTGTCTCAAAAAAAAAAAAAAAAAAAAACCAAGATAGAGCAGACATTTCCAAACAATTAAAATGTCCTCAAAGGGAGTTGTTGATATATTAGTCTGTTCTCAATGCTGCTAATAAAGACATACCTAATACTGGGTAATTTATAAAGGAAAGAGGTTTAATGGATCCACAGTTCCACATGGCTGCGGAGGCCTCACAATCATGGAGGAAGGCAAAGGAGGAGCAAAGTCACATCTTACATGGTGGTAGGCAGGAGACTGTGTGCAGGAGAACTGCCCTTTATAAAATCATCAGATCTTCTGAGACTCATTCACTATCACGAGAACAGCATGGGAAAAACCCACACCCATAATTCAATTAGCTCCCACCAGTTCCCTTCCACCACATGTGAGGATTATTACAATTCAAGGTGAGATCTGGGTTGAGACAGAGCCAAACCATATCAATTGATAATTAGCAGATTAAAGGGAAAAGGGCTAATCTGTTGACTAAGACAGCCTTCATGTTTCCCTCGGCTTGAGGGTTACAGTTTTCCTCCCGACCTCCTTGTCTTTCTATTTTTCAGTTTTAATTTTTTTGATACATAATAGATGCACATATGTTGGGGGTACATGTGATTACTAAATACACTCATAATTTGTAAAGATCACATCATTGTGATCAAGATATTCATCACTCTGCATATTTGCCTTTTTGTTTAGCTAGAAACATTTAAATTCTTATCTTTAGCTATTCTGAAATGTACAATAGATTACTGTAAACCACAGTCACTTACCCTGCTGATTTATTGAATGGTGGGTCTTATTTTATCAAAAATTCTATTTGCAAGGCAGGAAGATTGCTTGAGCCCAGGAGTTCGAGAATCAGCCTGGGCAACCTAGTGAGACCCTGTCTCTACAAAAAATACAAAAATTGGCCTGGCATGGTGGCACGCACCTGAAGTCCCAGCTACTGGGGAGGCTGGGGTAGGAGGATCACTTGAGCTCAGGAGTTCCAGGTTACTGTGAGCTACGACCATACGTATCACTGTACTACAGTCTGGGCAACAGAACAGAATCCTGTCTCCAAAAAAACAAAACAACTCCTACTTATTTGTACCCATCAATCAAACTATTTTTTATCTCTCTTCTCTGCCTCCTTCCCAGCCTCTGGTAGCCACCAATCTACTCTCTGTCTCCATGAGATCCAGGTTTTAAGCTCCCACCTGTGAGTGAGAACACGCAGTATTTTTCTTCTGTGCCTGGCTTATTTCACTTAACATAATGACCTCCAGCTCCATCCATCAGGCCTCCTTTGTCACGGAGGATTTATTTTAGGAAACTTGCAATTGTGAGTTCTTTCTCTACCTCTTTGAGATGCAAATCTTCTCCCAAATTTTCTTCTAGCCTTTTGCTAGTTTTGCAACCCAGGAATGTCTTTCTCAAGACCTCAGAGCCATCCCTTTAAAATGTAATTATTGAAGATGATACATCTGTCTCTCAGTCTTTGCAGAAGGGCAGGTTCCTAGTTTTGAAAAATTCCAATAAGCCAACACATAGCTTTACTGCTTTTCCTAACCTCTTCCTTATGTCTCCAGTTCCTTCTCAGCATCTCACCCCAGCACTTAAAAACTCTCCAGCCTTTTGTTTCAACGAAGTTAAGCTCCTTCTCTCTTCCGTATTGCAGTAGTCCTGACTGAGGCCTTCCTTGAAGGGTTAACTTGTCTGGTGCAATGTTTTCTTTGACAATGTCCAGATCAAAGGATCCCACAGAAACACTGAGTATGATTTTCGCCTGAGAAAGGGGAGGGTGAGAAGATAGATTGGGAGGCAGCTGTGTAGGCAGGGGACTTGGCCACGCCCTAAAGCTCTCCCAGTCTCACCTGTGAGTGGAGTGCATAGGCAGCAGTTCTTCTCCCCCGAGGCTGGGGGATGGAATCAGTTAGACTATTGAGGGCATCTGGAAGGGCAGCTGCCTCAGGGTTAGTCCTCAGGGTACGGTGGCCAATCGGTTTCTTTTGATCGACTGTTGACAATGTGTTTGTTGAATGGCAGCCTGCACTAGGCGAAACTGAAGCCACAGAAGACACCGCAGTGGGAAAACCAGCATGAGCCGCTGCCCCAAGGAACCTCAAAGCGCAGGCAGAGGACCAGCCATCCCAGCCGCACAGGTAAAGTGTGTCACCTGTCAGGTGGGCTTGGGGTGAGTGGGGGTGTGTGTGTGTGTGTGCGCCAAGGGGTGTGTGTATGCGTGTGAGCACATGTGAGTGTGACGGCTAGTGTGACTGCATGTGAGGGAGTGTGAACAAGCGTGCAAAAGTGTGTGCAAGTGTGTATGCATATGAGAATATGTGTGGATAAGTGCATTTGAAAGCCCGTGTGTGTGTGTGTGTGTGGTCATGAGGGTTAGTGAGCAAATGCACAGGATATGTGTGTGTGCATGGAACACTGTCAGTGTGTGTGTGGCAAGTGTGTAGGCATGTGAGGACAGGCAGAAGTGTGTCAGTGTTGTGATGGGAGTGTGAATGTGTGCACAAGGGTGTGGAGTCAATGAGTGTATAGGAATGTGTGTTACCTATGAAGGCATGTAATGTGTCAGTGTGTGTGCGTGTGTGGGAATGAGCGCTTGTGGGTGTGTCCATGTGTGTGCCAGTGGGTATATGTGAAAGCATGTAAGAGTGTGTCATGTGATGGTGTGTGGATGTGTGTGTATAAATGTGAGAGCATGTAAATGAGTGTTGAATGAGTGTATGAGTGTGCATATGTGAGGCTGTGCGTGAGTGTGTGAATGTGTGTAAGTGTATGTGCATGTGACAGTGGAAGTGTAGGGGTGTGATACATGTGTGGGTGTGAGTGCCAGTGTATGAGTGTACGTGGTGTGGATCTGAGTGTGCACAGTGTAAAGGGCATGTGTGTACAAGTGTGCAAGGGCAAGTGTAAAGGGCATGAGTGCAAGTGTGTGTGAGGGTATGTGAATGAGTGGTCATGTGCATGCATGTGTGAGTGCACGCTCAAAAGCATGGATGGGTGCAAGCCTCCCCTACTAACTCCTGTGGTCAAAAAAGGATGTGTTTTCTGTGTTTCAACAATGTTTTAAGATTATGTACTGTATTTAATACGTCTTAAATACGTCTTAAATATTAATACGTCTTAATACTGCAGTGTTTTTCTCTGTTTAAAGCGCAGCAGGGGGCTGGGCGCAGTGGCTCACACCCGTAATCCCAGCACGTAGGGAGGCCGAGGCAAGTGGATCACTTGAGATCAGGAGTTCAGGACCAGCCTGGACAACATGGTGAAACCCCATCTCTACTAAAAATACAAAAACTATCCGGGCATGGTAGTGGGTGTCTGTAAATCCCAGCTAATGGGGAGGCTGAGGCTGGATAATCACTTGAACTCAGGAGGCGGAGGTTGCAGTGAGCCGAGATTGCACCACTGCACTCCAGCCTGGGCAACAGAGCAAGACTCTATGCAAAAAACCCCAAAAAACCCAATGTAGCTAAAGGCAATTTGATAATAACAATGGCATCGAAATGAGAATTGTGTCAGAAAAACCAAAAACAATAATGAAATGGCTCCTCTATAACCCATCCCCCAAAACCCACGTAGAGAAGAAGACAGGGCTGGGCGTGGTGGTTCATGCCTGTAATTCCCGCACTTTGAGAGGCCCAGAAGGAAGGATTGCTTGAGTCTGGGAAATCAAGGTACAGTGAGCTGTATTTGCCCCACTGTACTTCAGCCTGGGAGTCAGAGTGAAACCTTGTCTCAAAAACAAAAAGAAGAAAAGGATACCTGAGTTACTAACTCTGATCATCACTGAGTGCAAAGATTCTGGTATTCTGGTGTTTTCCATTTTCTTTTAGCTTATCTTCATTTTGAGTTTTCTAGAAGAGCATTTATTGCTTTTTTTTTGAGATGGAGTCTCACTGTGTTGCCCAGGCTGGAGTGCAGTGGCGTGATCTCGGCTCACTGCAGCCTCCACCTCCCGGGTTCAACCAATTTTCCTGCCTCAGCCTCCCGAGTAGTTGGGACTACAGGCGCATGCCATTTCGCCTGGCTAATTTTTTGTATCATTTTTAGTAGAGACAGAGTTTCATACTGTGTTAGCCAGGATGGTCTTGATCTCCTGACCTCGTGATCCACATGCCTTGGCCTCCCAAAGTGCTGGGATTATAGGCATGAACCACTGTGCCCGGCCACATTTATTGCTTTAAGAAAAAAAAATTTCACTTGATGGAAAAAAGCTAAAATGAGGTTGCCTAGAAAAGTATCATTACTAAAAACATTCTTCTTCTTTCATGGAGTTTTTTTTTTTTTTTTTTTGAGACAGAGTCTCGTTCTGTTGCATACGCTAGAGTACAGTGGTACAATCTCAGCTCACTGCAACCTTCGCCTCCCAGGTTCAAATGAATTCTTGTGCCTCAGCCTCCTGTATAACTGGGATTAGAGGCATGCACCACCACGCCCGGCTAATTTTTGTATTAGGGTTTTGTCATGTTGGCCGGGCTGGTCTCGAACTCCTGACCTCGAGTGATCCACCAGCCTCAGCCTCCCAGAGTGCTGGGATTACAAGTGTAAGCCCCTGCACCTGGCCCTTGTTTTGGCTAACTCTATGAGTGAAACTCTTTCTGCCATGGGAGATTGTACCTTACCATTGTTTATTTCCAGGGTCTCCTGAGAACACAGACCAGAATTACTGAGGTAATCTTGGCACATTTTCTTTAACCATTTTATGTGACTTTCAAATTCCTTATATGTAGCTGGGAAAAAAGGCTTTGCTAGATGATTTTTAAAGATTAAGAAAAAAGTTTAAACCCGAGGCACTGATAAGGAAAATAAAGAAAACCTAAACAAAGTTTCAGTTCTCAGCCCCTGAGCAGCCACTTGGTGGGCGTTTCCTTCAGTCCCCAGTGAGCACCTACTGTGTGCTCTGTATGGCGCAGGGCAGGGGAGGAGCAGGCCAAGAAACAAGCCTTGGGTCAGGGCCACAGAGGGCACAGTGAGCTCTCAGGACAGGGCGGGAAGGGAAGGCAAAAAGGCCCTGGGCACGGGCTGGGCTGTCGGCTCCCGAGGGGCGCACTGAGCCTGCATCCATGGGAAGTGTGAGGCAGAGGCAGCCTGGACTGCAGCCTCAGAGCGGAGCAGAACCTGGGGTGGAAGAGGCCAGCTGGGGCGAGTGGGCACCAGGAGAGCTCAGGCTGGCCATTATTTGTGGCTGCCATTTCCATTTCCAAAAAAGTATGATTATTTCAGTTAATGGAGAAAAAGCACTGACAAAATTCAACACCCTTTCATGATTAAAAACACTCAACAAAGAATAGAGAAAACTACCTCAACATAATAAAAGTATATGTGAAAAACCCACATCACACTCAATGGTGAAAAACTGAAAGCTTTTCCTCTAAAATCAGGAACAAGACAAGGATGCCTGCACTCATTACTTCTATTCAACACAATGCTGGAAGTTCTAGCCGGCACACTTAATCAAGAAAAAGAAATAAAAGGCATCAAAATTGAAAAGAAAGAAGTAAAATTATCTCTATTTGCAGATAGGATTTTATAAGTAGAAATGCCTGAAGAGTGCGTGCACGCACACACACACACTGACACTCACACTCAGGAACTAATAAACGAGGCCAGGCACGGTGGCTCATGCCTATAATCCTAGCACTTTGGGAGGCAGAGGTGGGCGGATCACTTGAGGTCAGGAGTTTGAGACCAGCCTGGTCAACATGGCAAAACCCCATCTCTATAAAAAATACAAAAATTAGCCAGGCATGGTGGTGGGAGCCTGTGGTCCCAGCTACTTGGGAGGCTGAGGCACAAGAATCACTTGAACCCTGGAGGCAGAGGTTGCAGTGAGCCAAGATTGTGCCACTGCCCTCCAGCCTGGGTGACACAGCAAGAGAGTGAGACTCTGTCTCTTTTAAAAAAGAAAAAATAATAACAATTTAAAAAAAAAACTAATAAATGAAATCAGCAATGTAGTAGCATACAAAGTAAATACACAGGTCAGGTGTGGTGGCTCACACCTGTAATCCCAGTACTTTGGGAGGCCGAGGTGAACGGATCACTTGAGGTCAGGAGTTCAAGACCAGCCTGGCCAACATGGTGAAATTGTTTCTACTAAAAATATAAAAAGTTACTGATGGTGTGTGACTGTAGTCCTAGCTACTAGGGAGGCTGAGGCAGGAGAATCACTTGAACCTGGGAGGCGGAGGTTGCAGTGAACTCAGACTGTGCCACTATACTGCAGCCTGGGTGACAGAGTGAGACTGGAAAAAAAAAAATCAATACACAAAAATCAGCTGCATCTCTAAATACTAACAATGAATAGTCTGAAAAGGAACTAAAGAAAATGAAAATTCCACTTAAAATCTAGCAATTCCACTTCTGGATATATACTCCCAAAAACTGAAAGGAGGGTTTCAGGGAGGTAGTTGAACACCCGTGTTCATAGCAGCATTATTCCGAATAGCCAAAAGGTGGAAGAACCTAAGTGTCCATTGATAGATGAATGAATACGCAAAATGTGGTATATGCACAACAGCGAGATTTTACTCAGCCTTGCAGAGGAAGGACATGCAGACACTTCCTGCAACATGAACCTTGAGGATATTGTGCTAAGTGAAATAAGCCAGTCACAGAAAGACAAATATCCTGTGATTCCACTTCTGTGAGGAAAGTAGCATAGTGAGAATCATAGAGACAGAAAGTAGAATAGCGGCTGCCGGGGTTGCGGAAAAAGGGAGTGGAGAGTTGGTGTTTATGGGGACAGTTTTAGTTTTCTTTTGTTTGTTTTTTCCCCGCTTACCCCAACTTGAAGCTCAGAGTTTTAGCTGTAGATGAAAAGAGTTCTGGAAATGTGTGGGGGTGATGGCTGTACAACATTGTGAATGTATTTAATACCCCTGAACCACACACTTCAGTATGGCTAAGATGGTAAATGTTATGTGTATTTTATTACAATATTTTGGAAAAAAAATTTTGATGTGATAATGCAAACTTATAGCGACTCATACCTGCTTTATTGGGAGTTTCAGAAGGGGCAGGAGGGGGAGGACACGCTAAGCAGCCAGGGGCTACTGACACTCCAGAAGCACCCCCAGGGACTGCCTTTCTCAACATCACCCTCTGGAATGGCAGCGCCAGCCAAGAGCGCACTGCCATTGGTTTTCCTGACCAAACCTCAAGAAACAGCTGCGTTCCCATCAGATGTGCTCACTAAATCATGCCGACACACAGACACGCAGCTTCCAGCCTGTTCGGCAGCAGTGCAAACACGGGGGGTCTCAGATCCTCCACTAGAATGATTCTGGTCCTGCTTGAGCCTTCGCCTGAGTCCCCATCACACATTGTAAAGGTCAACTTAAGGATGATGGGCAGGCAGAGGCAGGAATAAGGACTGATACGGTTTGAATCCATCCCCACCCAATCTCACATTGGTTTAGTACCATCCCCTTGGTGCTGTTCTCATGAGAGCTGGTGGTTTAAAAGTGTGTGGTACCTACCCCAACCCCTTGTCCCTGCTGTGGCCATGTGATGTGCCTGCTCCCACTCTGCCTTCACCGTGACTGTTTGTGAAGCATCCCCAGAAGCTGAGCAGATGCCAGCACCATGCTTCCTGTACAGCCTGTGCAACTGTGAGCCAACTAAACCTCTTTTCTTTATAAAATACCCGGTCTCAGGTATTTCTTTATAACAGTGTGAGAATGGCCGGAAACACCACTCAAAGACGCAAACATTACCTGCAGGCCACCGCATGCTGACTGTCACCAAGCAGGAGCCGGCCGGCCCCTCCCTCATGCGGAGCCGCTGGCATGGACAGCCCCGGGGAGCTCAGGCCGAGCGTCCTTTCCGCCGTGCACCCCCGGACGGTGCTCTCATTGGCTTTCTCAGACAGCACCATCTCAGGGTCCAGCTGGCCATGGCCTGGATTAAGTTTAAAATGCTGCGCCAGTCCCCACCTCCCTACATATGACTTTTTACAAGTCTGACACTTAAAGCTTTGGGACCTCAGGGAGCAGCTTGATAAGTCAAAGAGCGCCTGCCTCTCCCTCTGATCTTCTTCCACGCTGAGTTCTGAATCATCATCAGAATCTGACAGATGACCGTCCGCCAAATCATCCCTTTTTATGAACTTATCTTTAGCTTTATACTTGGTAGGTCGAGATACCCGTCTCAATGTGTCTTCACTTTTAACGATGGTTTTAGTTTCTCAGTATGTTTTATATGCAAGTTGGAAATAAATAAATGTGCTGAACTGGATTAAACATGTCGATTGGAGGCCGACAAAGGGGTCAACATGGAGCCCTGTCCATTTGGAGCCTTGAGGGCTGGGACTCTCTTTGCAGGGACCACCTGGAGGGCTGGCAGTGGTCTCTATACAAGCGCCTGAGCAGGAGGCTGCTGTAGGTCACTTAGGAGACATGACCGTAGCTCGGTTCTCACGAGGGGCTGTACCCTGAGCAGCTGAAGGCTGGTGATGTGGAGCCCCACCAGGTGGGAATTCCCCCAGGGCGGCTGGCTGTCTTGCAGATTGGGGCTGGATTGTGGCCAGTAGGGACGTTGGCCGTTCCTGACCTTTTGTTTCTCCAGACGTTACCTTGACACAAATGGCGTCTAGTTGCTTTCCTACAGAAAGACAAGTAAGGGAAAAGAAGCATTGTGCTTATCAACATGTCTGCAATTTTGCTCTCATAGTAAATCCATTATTGACATTTTTTTCTAAATTACATCTTAACATATACAATTTATGTAACGTGTTTGTATTAAGTGTTTTTCAGACCTTTCTGACCAGAAACCACAGTGATACAGGCTGGGTGCAGTGGCTCATGCCTGTAATCCCAGCACTTCGGGAGGCCAAGGTGGGCAGATCACTTGAGGTCAGGAGTTTGAGGCCAACGTGGTGAAACCCTTTCTCTATTAAGGATACAAAAATTAGCCAAGTGTGGTGGTGCACGCCTGTAATCCCAGCTACTTTGGAGGCTGAGGCATGAGAATCGCTTGAACCTCGAGGCGGAGGTTGCAGTGAGCCAAGATCGCGCCATTGCTCTCCAGCCTGGATGACAGAGCAAGACTCCATCTCAGAAAACAAATAAAAAGTCCAGGCATGGTGGCTCACGCCCGTTATCCCAACACTTTGGGAGGCCGAGGAGGGTGGATCACTTGAGGCCAGGAGTTCGAGACCAGCCTGGCCAACATGGTGAAACCCCATCTCTACTAAAAACACAAAAGTTAGCCAGGTGTGGTGGCATATTCCTGTACTCCCAGCTACTTGGGAGGCTGAGGCAGGATAATTGCTTGAGCCTGGGAGGCGGAGAGGCTGCAGTGAGCTGAGATCGTGCCACTGCACTCCAGCCTGGGCGATAGAGCTAAGCTCAGTCTCAAAAACAAAAAACCAAAAACAGACCACAGTGACACATTTTACATTACGACCTAGTACACATGAATATAAATATTTGCATACATAAACGAAGTGAGAAGTTGATGGAACTACTTAGCATTCCTATGTAAATGCCTGCTGATTGTATCTATTCTACATCACTTTTTTCTTTTCTTTTTTTTTTTTTTTTTGGAGATAGGGTCTCATACTCTGTCGCCCAGACTGGAGTGCAGTGGCGTGATCTCAGCTCATGGCAACCTCCGCCTCCCAGGTTCAAGTGATTCTCCTGCCTCTGCCTCCTGAGTAGCTGGGATTACAGGTACACGCCACTGTGCCTGGCTAATTTTTATATTCTTAGTAGAGATAGGGGTTTCATCATGTTGGACGGGCTGGTGTCAAACTTCTGACCTCAAGTGATCCACCCGCCTCGGCCTCCCAAAGTGCTGGGATTACAGGTGTGAGCCACTGCACTTGGCCCTAATCTACATCACTTTTAAAAAAATGTTAGTCATAATCCACTAAGTTGGTTTCATGATGAATTAAGAGATAATAAAAGCCTTCTTAACAGTTTTACCCATGTGTTTTTGCTTGGAGTTTTCAGTACTCTAAAATCAGATGTAATTCATAGTGTGGGCCCATGTTTTTAAAAAAGTTTCTAATGAAATTCTAGAAGCCACAAGAAAGCCATAAAGAACAGTGTTACCCAGGATCCTCCTGCCCAACGTGCATGCCCGATTCTTCACCCTGTCCTGAACGTGCTGTTCAGCATTCTTACGCTTTTTAAATATTTACATGGCATATGCAGATATTTCTAAAAATATATAGTTCAGTTCTGAAATGCTTTAAAACTTTATAGAAATGATATCATCTGCAACTTGATAGGGCTTTTTGAGGTTTCTTTACTCCATTTTGCTTTGTGAATTTTATCCTCATTGACATGTGTAGCTCTTGGGTTGATTTTCTCTGCAGTATGAGTACACCAATCTCCTATTGATGGACAGGTACTTTCCAACATTCTGCTCTGAAGTCTGCTCTGAATCTCCATGGATGTATGTGTGGACATGTGTCAGTTTCTCCAGGGGCACGTATCTAGGAGCAGGGCTGAATATCTTTTCTTTTTTTGAGACAGGGTCTTCCTCTGTTGTCCAGGCTGGAGTGCAATGGCATGATCTCAGCTCACTGCAACCTCCGCCTCCCAGGTACAAGTGATTCTCCTTCTGCAGCCTCCTGGATAGCTGGGATTACAGACACATGCTACTACGCCTGGCTAATTTTTGTATTTTTAGTAGAGATGGGGTTTCACTATGTTGTCCAGGCTGGTCTCAAACTCCTGACCTCAACTGATTTGCCCCACTCAGCCTCCCGAAGTGCTGGAATTACAGGCATGAGCCACCGTGCCTGGCCGGGCTGAATATCTTCAACAACTTTTTACAAATATATCTAACAAAATTTCAAATACATGTGCTTTTTGACCCAGTAATTCCACTTCCTGGATTCCAAAATTTAAAAAAACTCAGCCATAAAGATGTTATGTTCTACGAGGATCAAGGCAGCACTGTCTGTAATAGCAAAACATCTACCAAAGGGGAGAGCTACCTTCAACAACATCCCACAAATATTTATTGAGTACTGACCATGTGCATGAGACACTGCTACAGGTGTCAGGGAAACAGCTCTCATACAGCTCAGGGGAGAAGGTCGGGAAGCAAAAGAAACAAGGCTTCTGCCCTCACAGAGCAGAAATAATGAGCATTTTCCTCCACAGAGAAAAAGAGGCAAACCTCATCATCCAGAGCACGATTTCCCAACCAACATTTCAGAACATAATCCTTTGACATGAGTGGCTGGAGGATGCCCAGCAGCATCTCTGCCTCTACCCACTAGATGCCAGCAGTGATCCCAAGTCCTGACAAGATATTGCCAAGTGTCCTTTGTGGGGCAAAACTGCCCTCGGTTGAGAACCACTTATTTGGGACCACCAACTGGCCCTCTTTGGACTCAGCCTTCTGGTGTGACCCTAAAACAGTAGAAAGTCAATAAAAATGTCAAACAGGACAGAATAAAGACCCTCGCTGAGATCAGGCTGGAGTGTGTCTCTCGTCTGTCTCTTGTTATACACTAGTACAAATAACAGAGGTCAAGTGTACCGAGCTGGCACCACAGCCCTGGGAGTCCCCATTTCTGGGCTACTTGTGAATCAAATGACAGCTAGATTGTACATAATGTCTGTTTGATTTTACTAAGTCACATAGAATCTCTCTCTCTGGGCCAAACACATATCACACCTGTAATAGCAGTGCTTTGGGATGCTGAGGCGGGAGGATTGCTTGAGGCCAGGAGTTCAGGGCCAGCCTGGGCAACAGAGCAAGACCCTGTCCCTACAAAACATTAAAAACCAAAACCCAAAAAAAAAAAAAAAAACCCCGCAAAAAACAAACTCTCACTCTGTTGCCTCGGCTGGACTGCAGTGACACGAAATTCTTGGCTCACTGAAACCTCCACCTCCCGAGTTCCAGTGATTTTCCTGACTTGGCCTTGCTGGTAGCTAGGCTTGCAGACATGTGCCACCACGACTGGCTAATTTTTGTATTTTTAAGTAGAGACAGGGTTTCACCATGTTGGCCAGACTGGCCTCAAATTCCTGATCTCAGGTGATGCACGCGCCTCAGCCTCCCAAAGTGCTGGGATTACAGCTGGGATTACAGGCGTCAGCCACCGTGCCCTACCTACAAAACATTTTAAAATTAGTCTTCATGGTACATGCCTGTAGCCCCAGCTGCTCCGGAGGCTGAGGGGGAAGGATCGTTTCAGTCTGGGAGTTTGAGGCTGTGCCGTAGTGAGGTATGATCAGTCCAGCCTGGGTGAGAAGGCAAGACTTTGTCTCAACAAAACTACAAAACAACAAAATACATATACACACAGACAACCTAAACCCTATTGTTTTAGGATAACCACAGCAGCAAAGCTGGCCTAATATTCATCCTCTATCCTGACTGGCTTACCCTGTGGGTATTATGCTTCATGCTTGCTTGTGTGTTTATTTCATTCAGCGAACGTTTACTAAATATTTCTGGATAAACACATATACACCAGCCAAGACCTAGCCTCACCCTTGAGATGGTGGGAAGTTTCCCTGCCATGCCTTAGTCCTCGCAGACCTGCTGAATCAGATCTCCCGGGGTGGAGACCCCATCTGCCTTTCAAAAGCTCCACTGATTCTGAAGGCAGACAAGGTTCCCTATAGAATGCAGACAGGTGAGGCAGCCAGGAAAAATGTCATCGTGGTACAACAGGTGCAATAAAGAGGCAGAGTGGCCCAGAGGTGGTGCACTGCCCAGAAGCAGTGATCTCTGAGAGGCATTTTGAAGGCTGGGAATTGTTGCCAGGTAGGGCATTCTGAGTATAAAGAAAAACATGTAAATGCATGGATGCATGAAAAGGGGCAGGTATGTTGGATGGAACTGGACATTTCTAGGGCGTGGGAAGAGGGAGGATGGGGAGAGACACGGGCCTCCATCTGACCCAAGTGTGTACACTGGTCCGTGCTTCTGATCCACAGCAGGCCACTGGGCCTTCTGCTGTGGTGGCTGAAATGCACCCCACCACCTGCCCCAGAACCTGTCTCTCCTCTTCTGCATTTTCAACTCAGACTCACCCTTTCAAATCTAGTTCCAATACCACTTCTTCAACAAAGCTGCTTCTGATCGCCTCAGCCAGAAACAATCTCCCTCCCTCTAACTACATTTAGTTCTTCATCACTATCTTTAGCTTTCTGGCCTTGATTAGAAGGTATCTGGGTCGTGTTTTATCTCCTGTTAGTTCATAAGCTACTGAGGGGCAAAGTACACATCCAGTTTGCCTTCGTGGCCTCCATGACACAGCTGGGGCTGAAAAAGTATTAGCAGAATGTGCTACAAAGGTACATTATTGGAGGTAGAATTGATATCATCTCCAGATTAGCTACAGAATAAGTCCCATCATGCTGCCTAACCTTGACTAAGTTTGCTTTTACTTTATGAAAAATATGTCATTTTTTGACTCCATTCCAAACCCAAAAAGCTGTGGTCACATTCAGCAGGGTGTGCTGGGGAGAACAAGGGCTCTGGAGGGCAGCCACACCTGAGGGACCTTGGGCAAAGCCACTCAACCTCCCTGAGCTTGTTTCCCACCTGCAAAATGCTGGCACGGAAACACTGTGGCGAGCTAAGCAACGCAGCACGGTGCCCGGCACAGAGCAGAGGCTCTGCAGATGGCTGTCCCGGGATGGCATCTTGCAGCCTTCTGACCCAGACCAAAGTCCAAGAAGGTCGAGTTACCCAAGGTCACACCTCTAGAGAGTGTGGCATTTGGGCAGAATCATACGCGTCTTCCTAAACCTTAGCAAGACAACTCTCCACTCTTGATGATCAACTGGATACAACCACCCCAGGCAGCTAAAAGCACGAGTGAAGTCAAAAACCTCAGGAGTGAAGATGGCCGATTCTCTCCTCTAATGCATCGCTTCTAGTGGAAAAAGCTCTCTTCTTTTGGCAGTTTTGGGATGAGACTAATTTTATTTACAACCTCAGTACTGAAATGAGATGGAATTGTACAGGCGTCTTGTAGAACTGCTGGGAGGACAACGAGGATACCCACCCCAAAAGCATACTATCTGTATGCAAAAATAGAGAGAGAGAGATAAGAAAATGCTGAGAAGCAGCAATGAAAAAAAAATGCTGGGCCGTGGCACTCGCTGTGCCTCAGCCCTGAAAAGCTCAGTTGGTTCCTTTGAATTCATTCAGGTCTCAGCTGCGGTGTCTGGCCTAAGGGACCGCCCATTCTAAAGTGGCCCCGTCACACGCAGAACCTGCCTGATGTTCGTTCTTCGAGTGTGTTGAAGGCTGCACCTCCTGCATTTAGGTGGGAGTGCCGGATACCCCGTCTCTGAGCGCTCCACAAAGGCTGAACGAGTGGTCAAAAGCGTGTAAGAAGAGCCAGGCAGCACAGAGGAGCCCCGGGCAGGGCTGTGGAGGCAGAGAGGACACGACGGCGTCCCAGGCAGAGGGCCCAGCGTGAGCATCGGCTCATCAAGTGAGGCTCCTGCAGTGAAAACTCCAGGGTGGTGGCAGGTGGGGGCTGAACGCCGTCCCTAAGGAACTCAGCTTCGGGACACCCTAAGTCTTGACTGGGTCCAGATACTGGCCTCCCCGGCCAAGCAGCTAACCCCGCCGCGGGACCTCAGCCCCCTCCGGGCCTCAGTTTCCCCATGTCCCTCCCGGAGCCTCACCTGGGACAGCAGCAGGCGCGGTGGGCGAGGGGCCTCAGCGCCAGGGTCCCGCTGGAGGGCGACCTACTGGGCCTCGGAGGCAGCAGCTGCGCCTTCGTGACCTGCTTCAGGACCCGCCGCAGCTGCTCAGGGCCCAGCGGGGTCACATGTGCGATGCTGCCCTGGCCCGGAGAAGGCTGGCGGGTCCAGAGAGGTCCAAGAGATCCTGCAATTCGTTCCTACCCGGACGCTACTCACAGTATCTGAAAGGGGCATTTTTCAGAAACAGTTGTATAGAGTTCCTTGTGGGGTGGCGGTGGAAAAAAAAGCTAAAACCGTAGTCGATGCAGCAATTGAGCCCGCGACCTTGGTGTTATCAGCACCACGGTGTTACCAACTGAGCTAACCGACTGCCCGACCCAACACTGCCGCTGGAGCGTATAAAAGGGCTCCATGTTCGCGCCCGTCCACGAGTCATTCCTTGCCAAGCCCGCGCGCAGCTGGCTGCCTCCCGCTTTCCCCAAGTTGCGGAGACACTGGTGAGGAGCCACCGCCCTAGCGCTGGCCGGGTTCCTCCCACTCTTCCCTGCCAGGGTGCCCTAAACAACCTCTGGGCCGAGACCGAGAGATCCCTCAATTCGCTCCCACCTGCAAGCGGCTCACAGTACTTGAAAGGCGCATTTTTCAGAAACGGTTGTGTAAAGAGTTCCTTGCGGGGTGGCGGCGGAAAAAAAAAAAAGCAAACCTAAGACTACGGCCGGTGCGGGAATCGAGCCCACGACCTTGACGTTATCAGCACCACGCGCTTACCAACTGAGCTAAGTGACCACCTGATGTCATACCCCTACCGGAGCATATAAAAAGGCTCTACGTTGGCGCCCATCCCCAAGCGATTCCCTGCCAAACCTGCGTGCAGTTGGCTGCCTCTCACTTTCCCCGAGTTGGGGACTCTGGTGAGGAGCCACTGCCCCAGCGCTGACCGGGTTCCTCCTGCTCTTCCCTGCCAGGCTGCCCTCGACAACCTCTGGGTGGAGACCAAGAGATCCCGCAGTTCGCTCCCACCCCCACGCAGCTCACAATACTTGAAAGGTGTATTTTCCACAAACAGTTATATAAAGAGTACCCTGTGGGGTGGCGGCGGGAAAAAAAAACTAAAATTGTGGCCGGTGCGGGAATCGAGCCCGCGACCTTGGCGTTATCAGCACCACGCTCTTACCAACTGAGCTAACCGACCTCCTGA